TCTCTCACTCGCACACACGCACACGCACACACACACACACACACGCACGCTCTCTCTATCTCTCTAACTGTCTCTTCTCTCTTTCTGTTTCCTTCTCTAATTATTTGTCTCTCTCTCTCCCTTCCCTTCTCTCTCTCTCTCTCTCTCTCTCTCTCTTTCTCTCACTCTCTCTCTGTCTTCTATCGGCCTGTGTTCCTCTAACAGCGTCGCACTGCACAGCAATAACAGTCGTCTATCTATCGCACTACGGCCTGCAGGACAATAGGCCCTCGTTACAAGGGTTTCTCCGTCGGCGTGGACAATAATCAAGAAAAAAAATAACAGGGGCGGGTGGGGGGCAAAAAAGTACCACAGCCGCCAAGGTCGCGCGGCGACCGTTTTCACTTTTTTGCCTTTCTCCGGGCTCCCCTGGGCCCTTGAACGGGCCGAGCTCGGGGTGTCGCGCGCAAGTTCCGGCGATGCCTCAGACTCAGGTAGGCCGTGGGACCTGGTCGCAGGCCCTCGGGGTTCGTGCGCGGGGCTCGGCTTCGAGGGCTCGGTCTTGCTCGGCGCGCGCACGCACGCACGACGTTCGGCCTGGCTGCAGCAGCACACGCATGCACATACACATGCGCACGCGAGTAAAGGCCGTGTTGTTTTCTCGTTGGCCTCGCCGAGCCAAACTGAGCGACAACTGAGCTCCGTCCGTCTCTCGGAGCTCCTCGCCGCCGCTGGCGCGCGGAACGGAGCCGCCGCCGAGAGCAGCGCTATCTGCCGGTCCGCGGTCCAACTCCCCCGTTCCCGTTGAGCTTTACACGCGTACTTCCCGTCTCACTCGATCTCCCTCTCACACTCGCTCTATCTTTCTCCCGCTCTCTCGCTCTCGCCCCTTCCTTCGCCCTTCCGGCGGCGCGACTCCCTCTTCACGAACGGTGCGCTCACGGCTTCTCGATGCGGCCCCGGCGTTTAATACGACGGCGCCGAGCCACGGCGGCGGTGGCGGTGGCGGTGGCGACGGCGGTGGCGGCTGCGGCGGCGGCGGCGACAGCGGCAGCAGCAGACGGGATCTGCGCCACGGCTTTTTCATGCGCGTATGCATATGCACGCGTACACGGCTGTCGGCTGCGAGGTATCGCACTCGTGCGATACCCTCCCACTCTCAACCGGTTATGGTGCTGTTCGATTCCTTTTTCTTCTGACTCCCACTCACCCCCGATAATGTACGGTCGTAGAGCGCAATTTCCCTTTAATGTGGTCCGTGCTCCCGCACGCATGGAAATGAGCTTAACGAAAGACTGGCAGCTTGAGGGTGACAGAGAGAGAGAGAGAGAGAGAGAGAGAGAGAGAGAGAGAGAGAGAGAGAGAACAATTGCGATGGGAGGGGGAGCGAGCGATTGGAGGGAAACAGATTCGTTTGTAGGTATGGAGGATTTGTATACTACGTGTATTAGGCACGTAGAGAGGCGGTCCATTTTACCGATGCTGACTAATGCTTGCGGTCTGTATTTTCATTTCCATTATTTAGAAACTGGATTAGTTCTTCGGACGATTACGGTGTGAATTTATGTCGAACAACATTGTCAGTGACGAAATCAGACTCGCGGAGCAATGTAAGATTGTGCTGTGTGATAAGAAAAAATTTCATATTAAATTAAAGAAATTACAACAGATAAAACTCGCTTTGATGATAAGTGGAGACAGCTTTTTTCACGTTTAGACTTTTCTTATTGTTGTCGACCTTATTGTCTCAGACTATATAATAGAGATGATAAATTGTAAATATTATTAATTACAAATTTTTTTTTAGTGGACATTTTGCTAATGGACATTTTAATTGGGCAAATTATTTTAGTGCCTCATAGTAATTAATTTCGCATAATTGTAACGGAAAATGATATTACGCATTTTCTCTTAAAAATTTATCGCAACAAACACATAATGTAGTTGCAGGTTTTGCAGGTTGTAGATTTTTCGAGCAGCTATTGAGAAATTGAATAATTTGTCAAACTCCAAATTCAATGAACACTTTGTAAGGAAAAAGAATAGAGAAGAATCGAAGGATGAATATTATAAATTTGCCTGTATGAATAATTTCTACAAAAATTAAGTTAATTCTCAGAAAGTTTTCACTGCTAAATCTCCTTATAAGATAAGTCTCTAGTATACGAGCGTTGCAGTCTTTTCAGCCGAAATAACAACATGAGAGGGAGGGAGGGAGAGAGAGAGAGAGAGAGAGAGAGAGAGAGAGAGAGAGAGAATAAGTAGTAATGTAATTTATAAACTATTCAACGATCAATGATGCGCAAGAATGTATGTACAGAGCAGACACGGCGCGCGATACCTTATGAAACGGGAGTGCGGACGAGCATCCTTACGCGAATTATTCAAAGTGGAAATGCCGGAGAAAACAGGACGCGGCATCGACGATCAGGGAGAAAGCCTAAGAAAGAGCTCCAAGCAAAATCGAAAAAAAGAAAAAATAGGACGAGGGCCTCCCTTCGGTCCGCAAGAGCGGGATTCCACGCGTACATAACGGGCCGTACGCATCGCGGGCGTATTGCAGTCTAAATCTCGGTACTTTTACGAGCAATAAAATAAAACGGCCTGACAACAGCTTCAGCCGCAAGACCTTCCTTACGCGGCGCGCGCGATCACTCATCGACGACGGACTGACGGCGTCGGCGTCGGCGTCGGCGTCGGCGTCGGCGTCGGCGCTCACGAGCTCACCCGCGTATTAATTACCGGCATAACACAGCCGCGCGCCCACGCACGCACGGCCCAACTTCCCACGCGTTAACTTGCATTTGAGCACGTGACTTGGCGCTCCCTCTTCCCCTCATTTGACACGCCATGCCAGGATCCGCGGCCCTATTCCCGGGGAGATCGGGATTCGCACCCGTTGCTCAAGCTTTGACCTAAATGTTGCGAGAGAGCGACGACGAGCGTCCTTAGCGTGCATTTTCCCCAAAAGCTCCAAGTCCTAAGCATCGTGTCTTCGAATCTAGCCCCCCCCCCACCCACCCAGCTACCCTTAAAAAAAAAACTCCCTTGCCCCCCGCCCCCCTTCTTAAAGTCCCTTTGCACGCGCGTTCTCGAGACCTTCGACTGCCCCCGTAACGCCAAGCCCTAAGCACCGTGTCTTCGAATCTAGCCCCCCCCCCACCCACCCAGCTACCCTTAAAAAAAAAACTCCCTTGCCCCCCGCCCCCCTTCTTAAAGTCCCTTTGCACGCGCGTTCTCGAGACCTTCGACTGCCCCCGTAACGCGTGTTTTTTTGCTTCGCACTGACTTAAGCGCGAGCAAAGTCGAAGAGCCGTGGAGCGACGCACTTTCTTAAGTAATAATGGCTGATCGTGGCAGTCGCTATTCATGAAAAATTGCTTATAAATAACGGCTCGTTACATTAAACGATTAATACTTAACGTTCATCGATTTGCACCGAGTCCTATGCGACTTTTAATTACGGGGCACTCGACAGCGTTATCCTAAATACTGATAATAAAAGATTTATGCAAATTACGTGTAGAAGGATGAATCGCGTAATCGAACAAATTACTCCGAATGCAAATATATACATGTATATGAAATCTCAATGGGCCTTATTATTATTAACGATGTGGAGGCGAACGATATTTGGGCTTTGTTCAGTGGTCGTTTGATCGGCGTGTCGCCGCGAATAAAATAATTGTCAATGCGGGCGAGGCGCGGGTACTTTCCAAGCATCTCGAGCGCGTCGTTAATTATCCGCTCTCTTCCCTTCGTTTTTCGACATACTTATGGCCCAAGAAATACGCGCTTATTAAAGTATGTGACTCACCTTGTATACCAGCCAGGGTTGCAGGCGTGAAGACGCGGGAGAACCTGAAATATTAGCAAACAGCCCGTCAGAATAAGCCTGCAAGATGGACAGCATCTCGTAAACGTCGTATGTAATGGGAGCACGATAAGTAAACTTGAACTTAAGAATGAAGAACGCGTTACTCGTTTCGAACGTCGGCAATAAATTGCTTCTTTATTTACATCAGATTCGAAAATTCAAATAAGAAAGTCAAACACCTCGTTGATAAATGATAAAGCCTTTGGTGTATTCGTTCGTAAGAAAACTTGATGGATTTTATAGAAATTCATGGGATACGCGCGATCCTCGCGTACGTCTCCTTAAGGGGACATTTTTTCTTTCTTCACGTTTTTTCTATCTCTTTTTTTTTTTATTTCTCATTGTTTATGGCTTTAATGGCGACAAATGGATTATTACGTTAGCGAAGTAAGAGAATTTGTAAAATCTTATTTTTCTATCTACACGTGCCTCTAATAATTCCATATATACGTCAAATGCTCTTTATCGTACAAAATTTCTATTATATATCGTAGAATTTGTATAAGAAACGTGAAATTCTATATGGTTTATGTAAATGTTCTTTTATCTGAATGTTATACAATATCGGTTAACAAAACTACTCGATACTTTAAAGTTACTCTATTTTAAAAATCTTGCATACTCGTCATTAGCTTTGAAACTACAATCGTACGTCTACAAATCATATATAATGTTGCATTATTTATATTAGCTCATGTAGCATTTATTAAAGAAATATTATTTTCTTTTCTTCTTTTTCATTTTTTACTTTATATATATATATATATATATATATATATATATTGTAAAAACAATTTTCAGAATAGAAAATTAAAAATTACAGTAAGAGTCACTTTCCATGATTTTTTATCACTCTCCATGTATTATTAAATATCACATATTAGTCATCACAATGCACAATGTATTTTAAATACACGCCATGATATGTATACATATTTTATTTACTTCTATAATTTACTTCAACAATTTACTCATACAATGGTAGTGTTGAGAAAAAAAAAAAAAAAAGAAAAAACTTGAAAATTATAATAGCGTTGTAAATAATTGTCGAGATAAAATCTTTTGCCTTAAATAGTTTAAAAACTGCATTGTAAACGACATGTGCTATGCATCTATTAAAATAAATAAATATTTGCCTTGTGCAGTTTCAGCATAATATGGCAGATCCTGACGAAAATGAAACGGTGAATATGTAATGATAACTTTGATTAAAGCTAACCTTCTTTCTTTCTATCATTCTTTCTTTTTTTCTTTCTTTCTTTCTTTCTTTCTTTCTTTCTTTCTTATGGGCTTTATCGAATGAATTTGCAGCGCGTAACATTTGCGCCCTATGAATTTGATGAAATCCTAAATAAGCGCGTCGTTTATAATGAAAATCAGGCATTCTATCTTATCCAAACTTTATGGCTTACGATCCAGCAATCAAGCCGTAAAGAAAGAAATAACGAGCACCAATGCTCGCCAAGAAGATGATGACAAAAATGAAGTAGTCACCTGCACAGCTCGAACGGGTAGTACGTCTTCTCCACGGCGCCGAACACTTTGAAGCCTTTTGTCTACCGGTCCAAGAAGAAAAACGTCAGCCTGCAAGCAGAGGAGAGCGCAAGGATTGTTAGAACCACATTAGAATACCACTGGGATATTTGCAGATTAAAATGCTCGTCGACACGGGGCTTTGGTAATAGGCCTTTACCAGTAGCCGCAAGCAATGACTTTTATATAGGGCAAATGGTTTATGCCGCGGCAGGTATAAATTTCCATGTACGATAATACAATGGCGGTTAATGGTCGTCACCCCATATAATGGAGATACGGATTTCAGTGGGCAAGCAAGAAGCGAGGCATTTACCACTAATGTCGCGCACCAGGAGAGAGAAAGAGAAAGTATATATATATATATATATATATATATATAGAGAGAGAGAGAGAGAGAGAGAGAGAGAGAGAATCACTTTTCATCCTTCTTCTTTTTCTTTCTCCGTACTTTTTATTTTTCACTCATGCCGGTCGCCTCATTGCCCGGCTATTGTCGTTTCTAAGTAGCCGACCGCGATTCCAATGCATTATAAACCTCTTTTCTCGCGCTAGCAGCATCCCAATCTCATCCCCTCGTATTAGAATTTAGTTTATTTTCAATTCCACGTGAGATCTCACCTCCCCTCAAATTTAAACTCTATTCTATACTTCTGCCCTTAAAGTCTCGTTCGTTGTGCAATGCGCAATAAAGATGTCATGCGAATTATCAAAATCAACTATTTACCGCTTGAAAACCTTGATTATTATTTATTATGTTTCATTCCTGCACTTCGCGCTGGCTTTACGTCTACGCGAGAATTTACGTTTCGTAAAATCTCATGACAATTGTTTCGGCAATTGGCAATCGACGATTACCTAAAATTTTCCAAACAATCGCATGGCAACTCGTATAATTTCCCACGCTTTTCAAGCAAGAGTAGCCATAAAAATTCGAAAGGTAGGAGGTAGACACACTTTTCCAAGAATTTAATTCCAAATGATTATTTTAATTTAGATGCTAAGATTAATATTGTGTAAGAAATATGTTTCACGTGGGTAAGAATTTTTCTTTATAAAAAGAGTAAGAGAGATACAGAGAGAGAGAGAGAGAGAGAGAGAGAGAGAGAGAGAGAGAGAGAGAGAGAGAGAGAGTGAGAGAAAGAGAGAGAGAGAGAGAGAAGAGAGAGGATTTTTATGGAAAGTAGGCGCTCATTCCATTTTCCTTTTCATAGTCTCGACTCGATCTTCTTCATCCATTTCTATCAGCAAAGTGTTAAGGTGAATCCACGAAGAGGCGCATTTACGGCAACAGATCCGATTTAGGACCTTGATCGTCTAAGGATGGGGTAAGAGAATAGTCTCACCAGGCGCGACGGGATTGAGCTCGACGATAGAATTCATTTTAGGAGACTGCGAATCGTTTCATAATGGGAGTTGAACGAGGCACTGTGACTGCCTGAGCGACTCTATGGACCATGAGGTACATGTAATTAGAAAATTGATCTTGGCATACGATAAAAGCTCAGGACAGGACCTCCAACTTTTACATAAATTTAAACGTCGCGTTTCTCTGAAAGTGCGAATGCGAGGATACAAGCATCGCGTGTAATGACAGATTCGTCTTGAAATCCATCATTTAACAATTGTTGCGCGAGAAGTAGTTCGAAATTTATTATTACATTGTGCAGGATAACGAGCGAATGGGAATAATTTGAAAAGAAAATTTAACATTTCACTAATCAAGCTACGACATTATATGATGTCATCACGAGGATGTTCAGATAATATTTCTAAAAAAAGAATAAAAGAAAAAATTATGAACTTGTATAAGACAATAATTTATTCAGTATTTTTCATCTTTATTTTAAAATAGAAATGAAAAAGAAGAGAGAATGTATCCAGCGAATGAACCCACTCTCTCTCTCTCTCTCTCTCTCTCTCTCTCTCTCTTTGTCCGTGCGGAGTCGGACACGAGAAAGCTCTTCTCTCCCTTCGGGGGATGGTTTTAGTCGCTGCGCGAGTGCTTTCAATCAGGAAGAAAAATCCTCTCGACCATTTACTTTTTTCTTCCTTGCGACGTACCAGCTGTGAAATGGGACGTGATGGCGTCTTTCTCCGTCCTGTTTATATTCGTATTTTTGTTCGTTCTCTCTCTCTCTCTCTCTCTCTCTCTATTCTCTTTTTCTTTCTATTATTTCTCTTCATTAGAGCCACTATCTCCTGTCTCCTGTAAAAGGAGTTGTGCATGGCTCGCATCAACCCTCCTCCTAATTCGCTTGTCCGCCATCCTCTTTTTCTGTCCTGTGCTTTCGCTATTTTCGGAAATAGAGGCGAGCTCCAGCACGTGGTCTAGGGTAGAACCGCGTCGGGACTCGGGACTGTCTGGGCGCGCACGCGAGCAAAGCGATATGCACCCGCCACGCCCATTGTTTAAGTACCAATACAAACGGAGAGCGCGCGCGCGCGCCGGTGCGCAAATTTATTACCAATAAAATTCACCAGTATTTTATGGCCCCGTGGCGGTATGTAGGTGAACGTCATCGGCTTCCGTTTCAATCGCAATATACACGCGACGGCAGCTACGCTACGGCGCAACATACCATCCCCACCGAGGCGCGCACACGCGCGCACATGCACACCCACCCCTGTTAGACGCTAATTAATAAATGTCGCGGGAGTCTTTCAAGCGGCTCGAACGATCTTTTTGACGGTTGCGAGCGATGATGGCACTCTTTACATTTTCTTGGGATGAAGGAATCGGGAGCGCTTCGCTCAAAATATTTTATGCCTATGTTTTCCATCGCTCCCCGTCATTATTTACGTGAGAATTTTTGGATAAATTCTCACGTGTGCATGCTTTGTGCTTATAAATCATACTACCTATCGCTCTGATAAATGATTCATATTTTCCCATCAATTTTATGGATCTAAATTAAATTGCTTTTCAATTATCAAGCGCAGTTAGTTACAAAGTTGTCACTGGTTAATGTAAAATGTTAATGTTGAAAATTATTTGTTTAAATGTTGAAACGCCATTATGTGCCTGTCAATTAAACAGTCGATTATTACATTGGAAAGTAATGATAATAAAATACCAGGTATGATCCTAGAAGCATTTACAGGTTATTCAACTATATCAATAAATTATTGTAATCGGCAAATTATGGAGAATTAAGAATTCTTGGGTGTAAAGGGGAAATTATATTAAATTTAATAATGTCTTTAATACAATGCGCGAGTGCGTGAAAGGGAAGTAAAGAGATTGTGTATTGTAATGATGGAATGAGAAGGCAAAAGCAGGGAAAATTTATAACGTCGAATACTCGTGCGCTCGGTTTTTCAGCAGACGAGAAAACTTTTAGCTTTCGAAAGTTCGTCCCTAAACAGCACGAGTCAAGTACGAATCTGCATAATTTAATTCCCAAGAGTGTTGATTAAAAAACATCAACCCTTGCTTTCGTCGGACCCCATACCAGAAAGTAACGTCTACCCGTCATAAGCGAAAATCTTAGCGTTTGGTTGAAGCGCGATATCGGAATTAAAGCGCCTCGCCCGCCCCCATACATAATTCGTGGAAAGCTGGTGGAAAAGTGCGGCGCTATAATAACCGAGGAGAGGAATAGACGACGCGAGAGCTTCCAAACAATGCCGAGAACGCTGGGGCGAGTATACAGGGTGCAACAGTGGTAGAAGCATCACGCTGGGAATTACCCCCGAAACGCAACCAGCCAGCAGATGAGGGAAGAAGACGAACGGGCGGGACGTCTGAAGGGGCGGGGGAAGAGAAAATGCAAAGAGTAACGTCTAGATATATATTTATATATATATATATATATATATATATGTACGTATGCGTGTGCGCGCGCGCGCGTGTGTGCGTGTGGGGAGGGTGCAAGAGATGATATAAACGCGTGCCGGCGAGCGCGCTTCGTGTGTTTTTGACCTGGGCGTCCCGACGCTCGACGCCGGCGGCGCTTTCTCTCATTCCTTCTCTCTCTCTCTCTCTCTCTCTCTCTCTCTCTCTGTCTCCCTGTCTCCCTGTGTCTCTGTCTCCCTATGTCCCTGTCTCCCTGTCTCCCTGTCTCGTTCTCTCTCTCTATCTCTCGTTCTCTCTCTCTCTCTCTCTCACGGCTCTCTCTCTCTCTCTCTCTCTCTCGCAAGAGAGAGACGTTTTCTCTGGTCCCCTCCCCCGTCGAGGCAGATCAGCCGACGGGCCAATCACAATACCACGAATCCGGCGTCCCGAAAGCTCCAACATGGCAGTGTATATGACGGACTCCTGCTCGAGTTTCTCCTCTACTTCTTCCTTGATTTTTCTAATATTTCTTGCACTTTGCGCTTTCTTCCCGATATTGATATACATAGGTCTATTTGGAAATATCGTTACATCGTCCTTCCATATCATTTTTTCGTTGTCGTTTGAGTTTAAACGGCTTGATAAATATCTTAACAATTTGCAATGACAGATGACATCGTTAATAAATTAAAGTTCATTTAATTGACATATCCCGATAAACTAAAAAAAAATTAAACGATGTTTAATTAACGATAAAAATGATTTTCTATGAAACTTATTTGAATTTCAATGGTTCATTTACAAGTTAATAAATTATTCATAATTATGTTATTTTTATAAACATTAGAATTAAATATTAAATAATATTTATTTCTAATTAAAGGCTAAATATTTATATTATCAATAATATTTTGAGGATTAAAACGTTCACTATAGCGTAATGAAACTTTAAGGTCACAATACGCAATTCTTTAAATAAATTTTACAGAATATATTACATAATTTACAAAGTCAAATTATACATTACGACTATTTTTTATTTCATAACAATTCAAATTTTAAATTTTATAATTCACATAAAAATTTATGAGGTTCGTTACATTAAATTTTAAAGCATGTTGTTCTTAACAAGATTACGCTTGAGTTTAATAAATTTAATTATCGTAATTAACTAAATATACTAAATTTAGCAAAGAATAATATTTTAAAGAATATTAATTAATTTTATTTATGTGCTAAATTTAAATACACTTTTCTCAATACATTACATTAT